GCTTGCGCCACACAGGTCGGGGAGGGGAGGACCAGCGATATGAAATTGTGGACAATAAGTCAGAAACGGCAGATGGAGGCATCTTCTCAGCCTGGTCTGGGTACTTTGCTCACGTCAAACGGAGTCCAAAATTCTGCAAATCCATGCCTGCTTTCAGAAAAAAAACATGTTAAGAAGGGAGAGAGGGGGGGGGGGGGGGGGTTGTCGTCTGAAGGGGTACCAAGGGTTTGACGGGGTGTCTTGCAGTGAGCTGTTTATTTGTTTTTTTTTTGTCTTGGGTTTGCTGAATGTGGTGATGATGTTAGGACAATGGTTATTGCCACTTATTGGTAATTTAGCTTTATAAAGTATCCTTTTGTCGCAAACTGTTTTGCGTTGACTTCTTTCCCAGACTGTTTCTCATTTACTTTGTTTCCAGACTGTTTTGCTTTCCTTTTTTTTTCTTTTTTTTTTTTGCCATTTTGAGCAGCGGCTAGAGGCTTGTACGATTTTACCACCTCGTTTTATTCTGAGACACACAGGGCAAAAAATCGATGGGGCAATCATAGCCGTCCATTGTTTTCCGACATCAACAATTTTCGTGGAAACCTTAAAACTTTCACAAATTTTACATTTCTGATTTTAAGTACCCACACGGCCCAAAACGCTCAGATATGACAAGAGCAGCCGAGAGCTGCGTGGGGCTGCCTTCTTCCTCCGAATACAACGTACGGTCATTATAGCTGAATTTGAGGCATCTTTCTGTCTAGATACCGCCATAATGACCGTACGTTGCATTCGGGGGAAGAAGATAGAGGAAAAGTCCCACAGGCGGTGGCCTGTAAGCGAAAGTGGATACTGCTTCCCGTAATGCTTCCAGAATTTGGTATCGGGGAGTAATGTAGAGGTTCCCGGCCTCTATTTTTTTTATTTTATTTTTTTTGGCCGGCCTCTAATTTGATTATTATGAGTCTGAAATGAATTTTGAGGAGGGGGGGGGAGGAACAACACCCAGATATGGATCTGAAAAAAAATATATATATATATCATTCCCAGCAAGTGCTGCGCCCCCCACGAATAGGTCGGAGCTTTTGATTCAAAAAAAAAAAAAAAGGGCTCGCTCGGCACAGTCCTCCCCGCTATCCAGGAAAACAGAGCAAGAAGTAGATAATACCGACTCAGGAGATCAAATGCCACAAGCCTTTTTTTTTTTTTTTTTTTTTGGAACACCTTCCCGGGACGCTACCTTCTTCCCCCGAATACAACGTACGGTCATTCTAGCTATACTTGGACTGAAAGATGAGTCAAATACAGCTACAATGACCGTACGTTGTATTCGGGGGAAGAAGGTAGCAGCCGTCAAATGCCACACGGTGGTGATCTTAGCTGTCATGAAAATTTTGATCTCCTTTCCGTAGCTGCCATGGTTCAGGTCGTGGAAGGTACATTGGTCCAGCTGAGTTCACATCATACACTGACTGATCTTCGTTCAGTAGAAGTTGTAGAACACACAGGAGCAAGAAGGTAAACATTGGTTCCAGCACACGTGTATGAGGTGAGGTGAACTCAGCTCTCATGGGCAACTCTCTGCAACTCTCCACAAACACGTCCAGATTCCTGTATACATTACGCATAGTGTTTGTTTATGAGTAATGGCAAGGACCACTTGCAAGAAAGTCCGGTGGCTCCCAGCGCCGACTGGTCCAGAAAGGCAAGGCCGCCATGGACTACAGCCACCTACCATCACCATCACCACCTGCAATCAGCAATCAATATCCTCCTCCTCATCATCATCATCATCATCACCATCATCATCATCACATCATCACCGTCATCATCATAATAATAATCATCATCATCATTGTACTACCCCTTTGGGCACATTCGCGGCCACAATTTTGGCAGGGTTTTTTTAAGACCGAAATCGTCAGGGCTTAACCGGTTCCCGCCACAGGATCTGAGCATTTCGGTTTCAAAAAAAAACGTTATCACTGCTGCCAAGAACGTCAATTTTAAATTTGACGTTCCTGGCCACAATTTCGACGTTTTTTTAACCGAAAAATCGTCAGGGCTTAACGGTTCCCGACGCCAGTAGAACCTGGCGATCCAGTAGGACCTGTGGATTTCGTTTTTTAAAAAACACCAAAACAAAATCGCGCCCATTCTTTGAACACCGTAATCGCGGCCAGGAACGTCAAATTTGATTTTGACGTTCCTGGCCACTATTTCGGCGTTTTTTGAGCCGAAAAAATCGTCAGGGCTTAACGGGTTCCCGCCGCCAGTAGAACCTGCCGATCCAGTAGGACCTGTGGATTTCGCTTTTTCAAAAACACCAAAACAAAATCGCGCCCATTCTTTGAGCACCGTAATTGAAGCCAGGAACGTCGAATTTCATTTTGACGTTCGCGGCCACAATTTCGGCGTTTTTTTAACCGAAAATATCGTCAGGGGCACGATTCCACTAGCACACGAGTCATGGCCTATTTGGACCTGTGGGACAGGATGAGAAAAGATAAATAAATAAATTTAAAAGACATAATGGATTAAAAAAAATGGTGAGGAGGTCGACGTTTGAAAGTACTGCAACGATGACCATCTTCTTGGAAAAAGGCCAGAATCTGAACGTGTTTCTGCCTAGTTGCATTCAATTCAGCCCCCTTCCAGCAATAACTGGTGCAGACTTAGGGCCATTTCCCACTGGCAAATAGCATTGGAATAAGTGTCTGAATCTGGACGTCTTCCACGAAGATATGCAGAAAAGCAGTGTCTGAATCTGGAAAGCAGTGTCTGAATCTGGATGCTTTCCACGCAGATATGCAGAAAAGCATTTCAGTCACAGTTGTTTGCACTTATCCGCAAAAGGGAGCAGGTTCAGACACTTACTCCAATCGTTTTTGCCTGTGGGATGTTTAGCCGTCTTGGATGGTGGCAAAGCCGAACCATGGGAGAGGCAAAGAGCATTGGAACAAGTGTCTGAATCTGGACGTTTTCCACGCAGATATGCAGAAAAGTTTCAGTCACAGTTGTTTGCACTTATCCACAAAAGTGAGCAGGTTCAGACACTTATTCCAATCGTTTTTGCCAGTGGGATCTCGAGTCATCCAATCTTCTTGGATGTTTTCTTGGATGTTTAGCCGTCTTGGATGGCAGCAATGCCCAACCATGGGAGAGAAGCCGTTCGCCACGGTTGCTGTGAGCGAGTCCCTTAGTGTGCCCCACGGGACTGCCTAGTGACGGTACCATTCTAGAAACGAGCAGATTTTCCTACTTCGCTGTTAGAAATGAAGTACTCGAGGGGCTTTCTATTGACCGGAAAAGAAAGCACGGTTTTTTTTTCGACAACCACCAATCAAAAACAGACTTGCTATTTTTTTTCCCCACATCCTGTTATTCAACAACAAAAAAAAA